CTGATGTCTATAACATGAATACTAGACAAAAATACAACTTCCACCTACCCTCATCAACTTTATCAGTATATCAAAAAGGAGTCTACTTTACTGGCATAAAAGTGTTCAACAATCTGCCACAAAGTATTAAAAACTTGGGCAATGATACTAAAAAGTTTAAATCAGAGTTAAAGAATTATCTACATGCTCATTCCTTCTACTCTTTAGATGAATACTTCAATGTAAATAGAGAATGATGTAAAATTAAGTTATATTAATTTTTAAGCTAAAATTGCCTGTACTTATGTATGTAACATTTGGACTTGTTCTGTATCCAAAGGTACTAACCTGCTTAGGATTTATAGAACGTAAATAAATTCAATTCAATTCAATTCAACAGAGGCATATATATATGGAAAACTGCTTACTTCATATTAAAATCACTGACAAGGTCAAGACATACTGTGTACCAGGAATTTAGAAGTACTATCAGACACATTTCCTTTCATTAAATATATTTAGAGTTCTAGAAATTCCATCTTTTCTCTCTTTATTTCCTGTCATAGCCGGATCAAATCTGTTCATCCTAAAGTTGTGTTGGGGTATTTCAGTAAAGGATAATTACCTCCAAGCACATTATGCATGTGTTGCAGAGCATGGCTTACGACACAGTTGCTATCTTATGAGCTACCTTCTTTTTCATTGACTATCTTATGATGGCCAGCACCTAGACCCTGTAGCATGAGGTAACAGGAGTGATGAATTGCAAAGGAACTGGAAGGAAACAGTTGTGCCTCCAATGAGCTACCATTCTGGCATTAGCCTGAAGAGGTTGAGGAAAACCACAAAAGACCTAGTCTGGATATTAAATTTAATCATACAACCTTCCATATACAAAGCAGGAGTACTTTACCCTGAACTAGAATGTGTGACAGCCGTTATAAAACCTCCGAGATGTTTTTGCAGTAATTTCAATATTTTGTATATGAGACAAACTCCGTCTTAAGTGCAACAATTTAATTGTAGTTCTTCCTTCTTCCCTTCCTCCACACTACATGTTTCGGCCCTAAATGGCCATCATCAGGTGTGGATTCTTATGTAGCTGCTACACTGCCCGTAGTTTAAAATTTAAAATCACCGGTCTTTCCAGTTGTATGTATGTATAAAATCTTTGTTAACCTACACGCGTCAATTTGATTTCTAAAATTGGCACTTTTTTAAAACTTCAATTCAAATTAAAATGTCTATAAATTTTCTGTTCTTTTTCTTTTTCCAAATTTTTAAAAATTAAAATTTTCTCGGGGTACACGCCCTATGTCTATAGTGCTGCAGCGGCCACTTCTTGTTTTATCGCTGTTCAGGTATTGTTCTGTGTAGGCTCTCTCTGTGTGTCGCTGCTTATCTTTAATACAGCGATAAAACAAGAAGTGGCCGCTGCAGCACTATAGACATAGGGCGTGTACCCCGAGAAAATTTTAATTTTTAAAAATTTGGAAAAAGAAAAAGAACAGAAAATTTATAGACATTTTAATTTGAATTGAAGTTTTAAAAAAGTGCCAATTTTAGAAATCAAATTGACGTGTGTAGGTTAACAAATATTTTATACATACATACATACAATTGGAAAGACTGGTGATTTTAAATTTTAAACTACGGGCAGTGTAGCAGCTATGTAAGAATACACACCTGATGATGGCCATTTAGGATCGAAACATGTAGTGTGGAGGAAGGGAAGAAGAAAGAACTACAATTAAATTGTTGCACTTAAGACGGAGTTTGTCTCATATATATTGTGTGAGTGTAACAGAATGCTTAAATATAATATTCAATGTTTTGATTCATGTTCACTATTCTGTTCACTTTATTCTTTCTTGCTTTATGATATAACAGTAATACAGGATTACTGAGCCTCAAGTGAAAGTTGACATTGCTGTAAGCAGTCTCCATTAATGCACTCTGACATCTTGTATGCATTTGTCAAATCTGTAAAGCTGCTCCTTTCGCAATATGATCTCATTCTACAAGCCACAATTTATCAACTACACAAATAATAAAAAGGGATCACAAGATCAACGTTACCTTATAACAGAATAATGTATGAGGATTGATTTAAATTCTTCAGACATACCTTGGTCATTACCAATTGTAGATACTTTAAAACTATTTGGAGGAAACGGTTGATTCAATTCAATCTTGGCTCGCTTTACTGGATGTGTGTGCATATTAGCAGTATCATCATCGTCATCCTCTGAACCAGAGTCATTTGAATTAACCGCATCCACAGATGCAGTAAACCACTTGCTCAGCCATGCTGGTTGTGGAAGTAGGTTTGTTACACGAGAAGTGACTTTCTTCACAAATGACTGCAAGAAAAAGCATAAAAATCTAGGTTAAATACATTAATTGGGTGATGATATAAACATATTCGTATCCGTATTTAAAACTAAGGTCTATCTTTTCGAAAACGAAAGCAGTTATAACCTCATTACGAGTTAACCTAGTTCAAAGCAAAGTTAAATTTGTCCTAACATGAAACCATTAAAATCCACCACTTGTCAACATTGCAAAACAATGTGACATGCAACTGTACATATTATAATTCCCTGAAAGGAATTTTCCTTGATACATTCCACACAAGAAAAACTCCACTACATGAGTATCACTTTGTAACATCTTATGCAGCCCAACGCAATTAGTAACAGACATATCACACGACTATATGAAATACATTTCTGTTTCATTTACTGGTCTATTCAAATCCTCTATAAGGGGTCGTTATATTTTGCTTCATTATCTATTTTCATCATTACGCGCGAAGTGATGATTGCGACTAGTTTACTTACATTTGAGACATCATAGGGTTTCGAAGAATGCAATTTCTTCTTCCTTAAACCACTACTTCCTTTAGCCATACTTTCTCCGTTATTAAAACCACATTTATGACTTCGCTTTTCTGGTTCCAAATAATTTCCTGACACCTATAGCCCCTAGATAGGTTAACATGGCGGCATCTACGTTAACTCCAATTGGTCGGAGGCCACACGTGATGCAACACTCAACCGGAATTCATTGCAACTGCGAACAAACGACTGCCGATATGTGTAAATATCATAGCCTTCTCAAAATTGTTTTCAAAATGTACATTAACAGTTTGTATGACTTTAATCCATGGCTCATACCAAGTAACCGAGACGCAAATGACTGCAAAGTTACATGCAGGAGTGGTGTCGCATCATTTTTAAACTGTAAAATATTCCGTCTATAATGCAACAATTCGCCTTTCTTAAAAGAACACTAAAATGTATATAATTTACTAAAAGTGTTTGTTAAATGTGTTAAAATGCCATTAACTATATACATTTGTTGTTCTTGGTGTTACATGTTTCGGCAACATATGGGTCATCATCAGGCAACATTTATTATCTGAGGAGACTACAGCACTGTACACTTTGTCTTCTATGCCCTTAGGCAATTCGTTGTTTCTATTGTTAATTTCCATCGTAGGATGTTTCTATCCTATCTTTTAATGTCGTTCCCTTTTGTTGTGTATGTTTTCGTGCTGTCTTCCTTGTGCACAAGGAAAGACCTGAAGACGAAGACTGAATCCAGTCTCCGAAACGTGTTTTTTAAAAGAAAGCTCAACTGAGTAGGTTTTACCTCAGGACGGAGACAGAATCCAGTCTCCGAAACGTCGTGCATTGAAAAATAAGCAGGACGAGTTTTAGATAAAGACAAGACCATAGATAATGTAAAAAAAAAACAAGATAATATTTGTACAGTCATTTTTTCGCATAGTGGGGGGTGGAGTCTAGCTGGGTCCACTCGGTACGTTGGCCACTTATTGGCCTATTGTACCTGCCCCGGGTAATTATGATGATGAAGAATTTGGTGGAATGAAGATTGGCAGGGGAAACCGAAGTACTCTGAGAAAACCTGCCCCAGCGCCACTTTGTCCACCACAAATCCTACTTGACCAGATCCGGGATCGAACCCGGGTCGCCGCGGTGAGAAGCCGGCGACTAACTGCTTGAGCTATGTTGCGCACTTTGTACAATCTTACAGTAACTTGAAATCACACATGAAAATCTTTTCGCAGTCTCTTACCAGTTTTTCGATCATTCCGTAACTGCCCATTCCAAAGACTCGTCTCAATTCAATTCTTCTTCTCCTAGGCTCAAAATATTGCCGGGATAGCATCTTGCAACTCGACTCTTCACTGCTGGACTACTAGTCTGTTCTGTCTTACACTGCCGTGATCAGATAAACTCGAAACAACAATCTCTACCAGTCTCTACTCTTGCGTACTGGCGGGTTAGCACCTGCTACTCGACTGAAGTTGTTTTCTGCCTAACACTGCCTTATATAACCGCTTGATCGCAGCAACAGTAACGACAGCCTCTGTCGGTCTCGATGGTGACGTAACTGTACCGCGCTGTTGCCAAGCCGTAGACCTCCTGTGACGTGGCGGCATCGAGCGCTGTCGCTGCAGCGGTTGCGGGACGGTCGGCTTTCCGCCCCCGCCCCTTCACCGAGCCGACGTGGCAGCGCTGGCCACTGTGACGTGGCAAGTGAGTCAGCGGTCCGCCCAACCCCCGCGATCGCCCGCGATGACGTGGCACGCTACGCCACTGTTGACACGGTCAACAGACAACAGCGAACGCCATAAAAAGCCTGCAGTATACGACATAGTTAAAGTGTAGCGGTCGCCGAGTTCAGTTGTAGCGAGTAAATCGTGAACGTGAGAGGCGATAGTGTGAGAAGGTACTGGGAGTGTAATACGGCGACACTTGTATAGCTCCCGTGTTGTACTGTAAATAAGAGAAGACTATTGAATATTAGTGTGAAGAGATTATTGTTTGGGGTTTGTAAATTGTCTAAACCCGCAACAGTGTTATAATTAATTGTAGTTACGATTCGCAGGTTGTTGAATAAACCAATTAACAATCCGAACGGCGTCTTCAGTGGCAAAACATGTTACACTATCTTTATCTCATGTTCATGCATATTTTTAGTATTAAACTTGACAAATTCAGTTTTAGAAAGTTTATGAACAATAAATTAGCATTAAACCATAATTTTAATTTATTGAGAACTTCAGTCGCACTATGCAGGAAAATTAGAGGATATGGATTGGATATAATCACACTAGTATCATCAGCAAAGAGGATAGGATAGAAAATCCTATTTAATACTAGAGGTAAATCATTAATATAGATCAAGAATAACAGGGGACTCAAAATGGATCCCTGTGGGACACCGTGGGATATTAAGCCCCAATTTGAATAGGTATTTAGGTTACTATCATTACCTTGTAATTTAATTCTCTGAAACCTTCCTTTAAGATAAGATGCTATCCATTTACGCATCGGACCCGCAATACCATAGAATTCCAACTTAGATAATAAAACCTTGTGGTTGACACAATCAAAGGCCTTTTTCAAATCACAAAAATTCCACCCACATTGTGGCCAGCATTTAGGGCAGTTAAGGTCAGGTCAAGCAATCTATTAATGGCCTTTTCAGTGGAAAAATTCATTCGAAATCCAAACTGTTCACTGGCTAAAACACTGTTGATAGTCAAATGATGACAAAGTCTTAATAAAGTGTTTACAACTTTTTAATACTTTGATAGGGATCTCATCATACCCAGTAGAATTGGTTATTTTCAATTTGTCTATAATTTTTTTTTTCAATTTCATTTGTTGTAACATAACTATAATTGATCGGAGGGAAAGTGGTTGTAAATATATCAGTTAAATATTCATTAGCCTTTTTACATATTTCAAATATATCACAATTTTTTAGTGTACTTTTGGTAATGGTCTCCGCTATTGATAAAAAATATTTATTGAAGGATTCGGCAATCATTTTAGTATTGATATATGATCTATCGGGAGCACTCAAGTTTGGTATACTTTCATGATAGGGTTTCCTCCTGGTCAATGATTTAACAATATTCCAAGTTGTTTTATTTCTATTATTGGAGTTTATAATTAGTTTATCATAATATGAACGTTTGGCTTCCATAATATTTCTAGAAAAATCTTTATAGAATAGCTTACAGTAACTTTGTATATTAGGTTATTACTCTCCTTACAGCTTAAATACAAATGTCTTTTTATGCTACATTTAGTTTTTATACTAGATGATATCCACACTTTAGTATTAGTATGGGGTCTAGTGAGACATTTGGGAAAACTATTACAAATGTGTCTTAAGAAAATGTTAAAGAATGCGTTGAAAACAGCATTCACTTCATTATTATCAAATACTTCATTCCCAAGTTCATTACTAAGATTATAATTAAAATTTAACAAGGAATATGTCAATTTTTCTTATCATACGTAAAAATTTAACATGAGGGGCATAGTAATATCATGGATCAATACTAATTGCGCATCATGATCAGACATACCATTATACATACGTGATAATTCAAATTTTCCCATTCTGGAGTAATCAATAAATATATTATCGATAGTTGATTTAGAAGTATTGGTTATTCTAGTAGGGAAGTTAACAGTACTAAAGAGATTGTAAGAATTTAATAGGGAACTGAGTTGATTCTTTTTATGATTATCAGTGAGGTAATCAATATTGAAATCATCACATATAATGAATTCAGTTTTTGATGTGTATAATGATTTGAGCACCTCACCCATTTTGAGTATTAAATTACTAAAATTACAGGAGGGGGCTCTATACACAGATAAAATATAAACATATATTGGTTCATGTCAAATTTTTACTGCACAAAGTTCTATATCAAATTCTACACAATATTTATCAAGATTTACAGCAACAAATTTTATATAGTTGAGAACAAATATACATGTTCCACCTTTCATAGCATTATTTCTACAAAAACTGGCCCCAAGCATGTAATTTTCCATTACAGTGTTATAAATTTCAGCATACTTTAGATGGTGCTTGTTAATACAAATGATATGGGGTAGCTCAGGATATAAGAAACTTAGCAGTTCATTAATTTTAGATTTCAAACCACAGATATTCTGATGGTAGATGTTGTGGTCAAACAAACATCATTGTCATCATTCATTACTTATGAAACTGTATATAAATATACAATTTTATTACAAATCTTATTTTACAGTCTCATATGCAACTTTTTAAGTGACTTCTAAGTTAATAAATAGTTTCACATAAGACTGTAAAATAAGGTTTATAATCAATTAGAAGAGTACAACAGGATGCTACAACACAATATTATCAATATATAAGTTATTTAGACTATGTCACAAATGTTTTTAGAGTAATTAAAAATGTTTGAAAAGCAAAACACACTATGAGTAATATGATTTATAAGAGACTAAGGTGGTAAAGACTTTGCTGTGAGGAATAATTTAATCAAATATACAGTATTGTTATAATGGCAGTCCCTTGTAAAGTAACATGTGTTATTTTCAAATCTGAATAAGTATGGTAGTCAGCCCATCATGTAAGGAAGCCCACTGATTTCCTTTTTAATTATCTCTCAGGAGGGTGCTGTGGTGAATACCTGCAACAGCTGTTTGATGATCACCTTGTGAACACATTTGGAGCTATTCGTTCATAGTCTGGTTTGAACAATAATCCAACTGTGGGGCAGTTTGTAGATGCCCTGAAGACTAACATCATCAGTGCACTTGCCATCATAGGTCTGTGTGGAACTAGCTGTGAGGATGATGGCCCTACTTTTCTGGATAACCTACAGTCATTTCTCAGGGCACCCAATGCTTCTTAAAAAAATCTGTTCACAAGTCATGGCAAGGAAACCCCTGATGATGTTTTTAAGCTTCCTTGTTGTGCAACAAGTACAGAAGGGCATGGGTGCTGCAGTACATGCTGATAACCATTGGACTTAACTTTAAAATATTTATGTAATGGTAAAACTGAATTTATCATATGTGGGGATTTAAATGTGGATTTCTCTAAGGATTCCAATTCCATGTCTTCTTCAGTCATATAATTTGTTTTACATTGTGGATTTTCCTACTAGATTTAACACTTCATGTCCTAGAGTTATCTCTAGAGTGAACCTATTTAAGGTTCTGCCTATAATTAATGGTCTCTCAGACTAAATAGATTAAATTAAATAGAGCATGATTTCAGCTACTTAGTTATTTTTCCACACAATCACCACCATTCGTTATGCACTTTTGCCAGCGATGAACAAGAGCCTGTATGCCGCACTCATAAAAGTCTGCGCCAACAGAGGCAAGCCACTTTCTTACAGCTGCAATGACAGCATTGTCTGGAAAATGTTGCTCACGTAGTCCATCTTTCATAGGCCCAAAGAGATGGAAGTCTGAAGGTGCTAAATTGGGGCTATAAAATGGATGTGGTAGGACAGTCCAGCCAAACTGGTATGGGGTCTAGCGTTATCGTGTTGCAAGCGAAAGGTTGCCTGCTTCTCTGGCCTGACTAGGGAAATGTGGGCTTTCAGCTTAATCGGCGTAATCTTGTGGCGTTCAGAATTGACAGTCTCACCAGGCTCCAGGAAATCCAACAAAATCACACCCTGCCTATCTGAAAAGACCATGCTCATCACTTTCCCTGCCAATGGCTGTGTCTTGAACTTCTTTTTTCTTGGGGAATCCGGATGTCACCACCCCATGGACTCTTTTTGGGTTCCGACTTGTGGTGACACCGTGTCTCATCTCCGGTGACGATGCTGTCCAGAAACTTGTCACCTTCAGCCTCAAGCTGGTGCACCAGGTCCTGACAGACTTCCATTTGATGAGTTTTGTGGTCCTGTGTAAGCATCCGCAGGACCCACCTGGAACACAATTTGTGATAATCCAGCTTCCCCAACATCGTTTCCAATGCATTACAGCCGATGTTAAGCCGTGCACACAGTTCCCTGGTCATTATCCGCCGATCTGTATGGATGAGCTGATCGAGGCGCTATTCATCGTGAGGAGTGGCAGCTGAGCAGGGACGCCCAGGGCATGGTTTCTCGTGCACTTCACTTTCACCACTGTTGAAATGCACTACCCACCACCTCACTGTGCTGACATCCACTGTATCGTCTCTGTACACCTTTAGCAAGCGTCAATGGATGTCAGTGGGTGCAATTTGTTTGGCAGTGAGAAATTCAATAACACATATCTGTTTCGTACGCACTTCTATGTCACATGCCATTTTGGTAGACTGCTGTGCTGTCACTATATGTCGCATGACAACCAAACTAATAGTACACAGGCGGGAAGGTTCAACCACTAACATCCAGCTCATACATTACAGATTAACACAAATAAATAGGAGGCATTATATATGGATCGCCCTTTGTATCAATGATCTAGAAGCTGGCAATGAACATGGAAGACGAACGTTTTTTGCCAACAGTACTAGTATTCTTATAACAGGAAATAGTGCTAATGATGTCCAAAGGAAAATAAATAAAATAAATGCACTCACAGAGTGGTCTGAAATAGATTAATTATTAATAAAGAAAAACAGGAGCAATATACTTTCATAAACCTCAAAAAGTACAAGTCGAATGCCCGTCAATAAAGCTCTATGATACAGTCATCAATTATACAGAACATACAAAATTTTGGGGAGTTTGGTTGGATAAGAATCTAAGGTGGACTGCACATACTCAACAACTAGCAAATAAATTATGTAAAATATGTTTTGCCTTATGAGTAGTCAAAAGAGTATCAGGGTTAGAGACTGTTCGCACTTTATATTATGCTTATTTTCAATCCTTGTTATTATATGGATTGATATTTTGGGGCAATTCAGGAAATGCAGAATTGATCTTTAGGTAGCAGAAGAGAGCTATGATACAAATCCCAAAAACCATTAGTTGTAAACAATATTTTAAATTGCTACATATATTACCTTTACTATGTCTGTATATATATGAAATTCTAGTTTACATAAAAACCAATTTGAATGTTTTCATAACCAATTCAGGAATACAATCACACAATACAAGGAGAAAAGAGGACTTGTTCATAGTGCCATGTAATACAAGTTAATACAAAAACAATTTCAATAATATTGGACTTCATATGTTACTTTGAAAATATTCCTACTTGATCATTGTTTTAATAGTATAGATGAGTTTCTCTTGTTTGGGGGCAAATCCTAGTTCTAATCACTTGTAAACATATATTTTTTTTCAAGAATAATTAACTTGTAGATTTTAATATTAGTAATGTTATAGGAATGCCTACTGCCCTACTCTGTATTTTTTTCTTACAGGAACAAGATCAAGGATACCAGGGTATCTCGTGCCAGGATAGGATCTGGTCTTGAGGCATGCAGTGGTGTCGTGTGTTAAACGATTATATTAGTTCTATTATCAGAATCATCATTGTATTATCTTAGAATATTATTTTACTATTTATTATTGTAAAGTATTTGACTTGTCCTATATCATGTATAATGATCCATGGATACGAAGTAAATAAATAAATAAAATAAATATCTGTATTGAATTGAATTGAATAAGAGGATAATAATGAAAGCATCAATATTAAATTCTGTTACTGTGCTGAAAGATGAATATTGGAGTGATGTTTATTCCCATCATTATGTTAACAAAAGTTTTCATTTCTAAATTCACTTTTAATATAATTTGAATCCTACTTTCCCGTGCATCATACAACTAAAAAGTTAGTGAATAACTCCAGGATAATGCAGGGAGTAAGAATATCTTGCAAAAAGAGAAATAGCCTTCACATTTGTAGTAGAAATAGCAATTGCCCATTAATAAAAAATTATTACAATCAGTATTGCACCATCCTGTGGAAAATGATCAGAAATGCAAAATGTAATTATTACAACAGCTTATTAATGACAGCTGAAAAAATGTAAAACAACTTGGAGCATTGTAAATAATGAAATAGGAAAAGTAAAAAATAAAGCATACCCTTCATTTTTTCATCAGGTGACTCATCTATTCAACTGGATATAGCAGCTAAGGCTTTTAATGATTATTTTTTAGGTGTAGGTTGACATTTATCCTGCCCTTTTATACCTTAATAATTCTTCCTCCCAAGATTTTCCTGATATAATTATTATGTTAATGGAATCTGAAATTATTAGTACATTTGCATTCTTAAGGAGTAAGAGCTCATCAGGCTATGATGGTATATTTCCAATAGAATCTTAAAAATCTGTGGAAAATTCCTTGCTAAACCTTTAGCATATATTTTTAATAAATCCTTAATAGTATGTAAATTTCTGGATTGTTTGAAATATTCAGTTGTTAATCTGTTATTTAATAAAGAAGAAAGTTTGAATTAAGTAACAATAGACCTATTTCCTTGCTTACCAGTTTTTCAAATGTTTTTGATTTTATCATATCGTTGATTTACTGATTTATCGTAGGCTTAATCAGTATTTCCAGATTCACAATATCTTTGTTAGAGAACAATATGGTCTTAGAAAAGTGTTGTCTACAAGTAATGCTACATATACACTTACTGAAATAATTTTAAATACTTGGAACAGCAACAGATATGTTTCAGATGTTTTTTGTGACCTGACTAAAGCATCTGATTGTGTAAATCATAAATTATTGTTAAAAAATTGAAGTTTTACAGTGTCAAAGCTTTACTGTTAGATTGGTTTAAGTCATACGTGTACAATAGGAAGCAAAGAGTGGAACTGAATTTTTAGGTGTAATTATTCAGCTTGGAAAACTGTTAAATCTGGTGCACCTCAGGGATCAGAGGGGGGCCACTACTGTTTAACATCTACATTAATAACTTCCTGGGTTTTGATAACTCTAATATGATAATGTATGCTGATGACAGGACTATCTCAATTTCCAATAATAGTTATAAAGAACTCAGTGGAATCCTTAACGTTCTATATAACACCATCAAATGGTTTGAGGTTAATCGGCTGGTATTAAATATGGAAAAGACTAAAATAATAAAATGTACCCATCAAATTCCTCATTATGGATAACCTCTGGTGAAAACTTTTCTGTCATAACAAGTGTTTGCTGTACCAATGGCCATACCATGTTGAAAACACCTGTTCTCGTCTGATCACCGAAGTTAAGCAACATTGGGCATGGTTTGTACTTAGACGGGTGGGGGGCACATGGTAGCATAGTTGGCTGAGGTACTATGCTACAAGCCGGAAGGTTGCAGGTTCAAGTCCCAAATGAGGTAATTTTTTTTTTCAATTGACCTAATCCTTCCAGCCACACTATCACCCTGGGTTCGACTCAGTCTCTAACAGAAATGAGTACCAGGAGTCTTCCTGGGGTGTGAAGGGTGGCCAGCACATAAGGCTTACAGCCTTACTGCCGTCTGTGAGCTCAGTGTCTAGATAATGTGGGACCTTCAATGTCTCACAACCCTATAGGCCTCCATGGCCTGTTACAGGGATAGAGTTACCTTACACATTTGCTGATACACAGCTGTTAGCCAGTACATGTACCAGTGCTTACCAGCTGAAAAGAGAGCAATTAGTTATAGTATTATCATGCTTGGACTGGTAATAGGACTTACTGAACACTTGTTAACTCATGGCTACAAGTAATTGTAGAAGTCTCACTGATCTAAATGCTCTAAAGTTTATTTTAACTGCAAACATTAAAGCTTCTATGTCTTCACTACTTGTTGCCAGGCATCAGTTCCTAGAAGTGGACACTCCTCTGTTTCCATGCTCACATTCTTACCAGCTGGTAACTGCCATCACACACACACACACACATGAAAAACAACAAAAGAGGACACAGTGCTACAGACAAGAGTAAAAACTAAAAACTCCAGAACATTAGAATCAATTTGTCAAATACATAATTTATGGATGAACAGAATATAATGCATTTAGAGAAGGTAAACACCATAGTGGTGACAGAAGACAACAAAGCAAGGCTAAAAGCAATCAACATATGATGTCTAACATTAATACAACACAATAGCACACTGCATCAATATTCCAAAATTATATTTACACATACATCTAAATCCTAGTCTAACACAATCATATATATCAATTTCAGAAAAACTCCAATATAAGTTATTTTAACATAATCAAACTCTTTATGTAGGAGCAGAATCAATTTGTGCATACAACTATACAAATTATTCTATAAATCATTTTACAATACACATAACATTTTATAACATGGATCCATGATACTTGCAATTCAATATTTTATAACTTTACATATTGTACTGCCTGATGATCGCTCCGTGAGAGCCAAAACATGTTGTATAGCTGTATTGTAAGTTAAATAAACTCAGCTGATACAAATGTGGAAGTGAGTTGTTTATTTGATTGTTGTGTTGATAGATATATAAAAACCAATATACTGATCCCCATAACATGATGCATTCCCTAAATATTAATCTCATTAATTTGTTAACACACCCTACAGCATCTAGGAACAGAAGGGTAACAGAAAGACCAAGCACATAATGGAAAGATTTTGAGGCTAGTACATGCATGAATTTCTTCAATTTGTGAAGTCCTGAGAAAAACAGAAAATATATTAAATTGTCTGATGAAAAATGGATTAATGTGAGGAAGTTTTCTCTTGTACAGTATAATGGAATGAAGATGACTACTTTCTGCCATGTCTTGAAGCAATACTTAACCACACAAGTAATTAGTAAATAGAATGAAGTCTTGAAATTTGTGTTACATTTCAATATGGCTTCTTAAAAACGTTATTTACTTATTAGTCTAAAAAATAAAACTTATGTCGAAACATATATAAAATTAACACATACAAAATTCTATTTGTACAAGTGGAATACTGCTTACACTCTTACGATCATTTATTCAAGGTGTTGTGTTGTTTTGTCTCTCTTCTCTGTACCTCTTTTCATAATCTCTCACTTCATTTTCTTCTAGGACACTATCATGATCACTATCCTGTACACCTTCAGCATGTTTTAACTGAAACTTTTCATCAAAGTGCACGAAATATGTCGTAACTAAATTTGTCATACTCTTCACTTTAATAGCACCTCTGCATTCACAGTGGATTCCCAGTTGTTGCAGCACTCTTGCTGTATTTTCTGTAACCTATAAAGGCAAAAAGTAACATAAAACAGCAGTCTAAATTAAGTTTAAAAACAGACCTATAAAAATAATTCCCTACAGACTTTCTTTTAAATGCTGTTCCATTACAAGTTTGCTTGCAAAGCAATGTTACTGACAGTTCTATTGTCCTTATTGCACTTCATATATTGCAATGAAATGAAGTTCACTTTGTTTTGAAAATTTTAACACACTGACACAACCCTCATACATGAAGTACTTTGATCTCTTGTTCAAAAAGAGGAAAACATTTTTTTACCAAGTGTGAAACTTGACAGACTCCAGTGAAATATTTTGTTCCATGTTCTTACATGATGGGGGAACTTGATGATTCATGGAAGGCTACAATTGCATGATTAGTTGAGCTACTATTAGCTTCTCTAGAAGAACTCTGGTCAGTTGAGTTAACTAGTTTGTTTATTAGCTGTGATAACTCTTTAAATCTCACGTTACTACAGTCAGATATATGTGATGGCAATGACAGCACAAAGAAAGAACATTTAATGATTGTTACTGATATATTTCTTTAGGTTAGTAAATCACTAATTTTTATCTTAGCAAGAGTCAGCAGGCTGGACATAGGACAAAGGTAGGAATACATCAAGATGACAGAAGTATACATGAGAACAACACGAACATGATATAATGAAATTACTATTCATACACAAGATGGTTCTTCTACTGCTATTAGTCTCTCAAAAGTGAGCATTTAAGCGCCAACATTAAACTAACACTCCATAAGGCACTGACCTGATCAGTAATGACTTATGTTTGTCCCTCCTGGGAATTAGCGGCAGACACCTATTTCTTAATGCTGCAAAACGAGGTTCTCCACACCACTGGTAATTTTTCAAGGTGCACACCTGTCTGCGATTTGCACATGGTTTTCAACCTTCCATATGTATACGATTATATAAAAAATTGTGCAGGCAACAAGCAGAAGTGATACATCGCAGCACAGAACAAGGTGAAGCCAGACACAGAAAATATATGAGGTTTAAACTTGGAGGTGGTCAAGCTTACAACCATTCAAGTGACTAAGCTGCTATTGTAGCATAAGATAAGTAAGATAGGCATAATCTCTTCTGCAAAGCCTGTACTGACAAAGGACTTGTGTATAATGCAAAAGGAAGAACTGTCAATAGCATGCTATATGTGAGATACATGCACTTGACAAAGCCAAACATAGTCATAAGAGACAAACCCATCCTGCTGTCAGAGGATGTCGCATAAGGACTTCTACCACAAGGGATCAGTTGCCCTCAACCCCTTAAAACAATCTCTGGTCATCAGCCTGAAGGAGTTTGGTACATAGATGAACTGATAGGCAGTAATCCACCAGTCATAAAGTAAATCTGACTCTGAGTTCAGTTAGTTAAGAGTCGACAGTTGGAGCAATGAGTTAGTTGCGGAGCAGTCACCAGCTGGTAAGGACATTGTTTTGATCCATCACCAAGCAACGACTGGTGGAGATAAAGCAGAATGGGAAGACGTACTATGTGCTGATGTTAACTGCAGTGTATGTCAATTATTGAGCGCACTATAGTTACTTGTAGTTACGAGTTGTGTGTATAAGTTTGCAATAAATCTGATTACCAATTCAAACCCCGTCTATAGTCACTCTATAAATGATGATCATGGTATATAGTAGCTTTCTATGTGACAACTTAGTTAACATTAAAAATAAAACAGACAAAATTGTCAGTATTACAAGGTGGTTCGAATATGACCGGGACTGATTTAAAAAAAAAAACATAATTTCCAAACACTTACTTGCACATGTCAGTCTTCAACGTACTCCCCTCCAGAGTCAACACATTTTTTCCAACGTTCTGGAAGCATCCTGATGCCCTTTTCAAAGAAGTTTTGTGGTTGGCGGCATATCCACTCCCGAACAGTCTGGATTACGGCGTTGTCCAAAAACCGCATGCCTTGCAAGTCTGATTTGAGCCTTCTGAACAGGTGGAAATCACTTAGGGCCAAATCGAGACTGTATGGCAGATGTGTCAGAAGGTTCCATTTCAGTTTCCGGAGTGTTTCCATTGTTGTTCTGGCCGTATGGGGGCGTGCATTGCCTTGAAGGAAGGCTACCCGCTTTCCACGTGTCTTCCGCTTGGATCAGATCTCTTCCTTCATGTCTGTATAAGCTGCACTGACTGTTCTGGCATCTGTCAGAAAGTCTACATGGATAACCCCCTGCCAGTCCCAGAAGAATGTTGCCATCACTTTTCCTGCCGAACGGCTCTTCTACACTTTCTTGGGTTTGGGAGAACTGATATGCCACCACTCGCGTGATGACTGCTGGGACTCGGGAATGAAGTAGTGCACCCATGATTCATCGGTGGTCACTAGAGACTTCAAAAATGCATCACCTTCATCTTCAAACTGCTGTAGGAGATCACTGGCAGCTTGCATGCTCACCATTTTGTTCACGTCCATCAAAGTGCGTGGTACCCACCTTGCGATAGTGCAGGTGGTATTTCACGATGTCTTCTACACTACCAACACTGATGGACAGCATTGCTCCAAGTTCCTTAATATTGATGCACCTATTTTCACGAATAAGCGCGTCTGCACGATCAATGTTTGGCTCGGTGATGGATGTTCGTGACCAACGATCATGCACTTCATTCTCCACACGCTCTCTGCCCTCTCTGAAGCACTTACACACTCAAACACATGGGTTCGTGAGAGACACTCTTCCCCATACTGTTGTTGGAGTCTGTGGTGAATTTCAGCAGACAGGACATTTTCTCCGAGGAACTGATCACAATGCATTGTTCCACACTCCGCGGTACCTTCTGTTCGCTCATCACTCTAGCAACTCCCAGACAGGACTGAACAGGTTCTAACCCTAACAGGAGGGAGGGTGGAGATTGTGGCTTCACTCTCTGAAGGTCGCACAGCTGCTGCACAGTGCGGCTTGTTTACACACAAATCAGTCCCAGTCATATTTGAACCACCTTGTAATTTATAAATTTCTATAAAATTATACCACATATCTTGATATGACAAACTGCTCAGTTTTGTAGAAATTCACTTTAACGTTACCTTGCAATTCAGTTACTCTGTGTTTATCTATTTTGAATCCACCTTATGATGATCTATCATGATCAGAACATGTAGTGGTAGAATACAGTCATAATGAATACTGACGTTTTTCCATTTTCTTTTTATTGTTAAGCAAATTGTTGTGCAGAGGGCCACCATGTACCAACAGAATGCAAAGAATAAAGAGAAATAAAGCTTCAGGGTGATAATGGATTTAATTATTTTGAATTTTGTCTTTTATAACAGATGGTTTTAATATGTATATTAATCTATCATTCATTTTTAAATGACTGTAGAACTCTTTAATTATGCATAATCAGCAATCAATAACAACAAACTCCGCGATTTTAGTCCGCAGGCGAACTATACCGATTGAGCGACTGCCGCTTGTCGGTGAAGATTAGTGCCAGCTTTTGCAGATAGAGGGTGTCGCGTGGTCAGCGCAACAAATCCCCACAGCCATTAATTTCGGTTCTCTAGACCGGTGCCACTATTTCCTTGAAATAGCTCCTCAATTATCATCACGAGGCTGAGTGGACCCTGTTCCAGACCCACTTCTTCTCAGAAAAAATCTGGCAGTGCCAGGAATCGAACCTGGACCTCCGGATCTGTAGACTGATACATAATTTTTTCTGGAACAGGCTGAAGAACAACATATCCCTGTAAGATCACTATGCCTGACAATAATGGTATTTCTTGCAAAATCAAAAAATAAGAGCATACCTAATACAATTATGGGGCTTTGCCATTTATAGAACACATTTTAATTATGTAATTCTGTGGTTTGAGATCAAATGAGTTGCACCTGAATCTTTTCTGGTTCTCCTGTAGACTCCATCCTAGAAGCCATGTTTACCGAGTGGCCCCATATATCATAATGTGGTTTCTGTGCACCAATGACACCAGCTGTCACTTTTCCATGTGAGATTCCTGTAAATGTACGGTACTATTAAATTCATTGAAGAAGTATGTAAAGGAGGTCTTACTACAAGGATAGACTGGCCCTGAATCAGCAATACAAAACAGGCATTTTTCTTTCATTTTTAATGTTTTGGAAAGCAGACAATGACAATATAACTTGAACCGAACGATAATGATGTCACTGGCAGTGATAATGGTGGTGATCACGATCAAAATGATGATGATAATGACAATGATGGGAATCACTATTATTATTTGTTTCAGAATTCTTTTCCTAATTCATCATTAATTTTATTTCTATTTATCTTTGTTTGTAGATAATTAAATTTCTTAATAATTTCAGATGATTCAGCTGCAGGCTTTTACCAAGCAGGAAAGAAACTCAGAGAATTATCACATTATGAGAAAAGTTTTGCAGTTCTGTACCTGCTTTCATTCTGAAAATATATGTTTTATTTTACTGACATTTAGGGCTGTACCTATTTATTCACCCTACATCCTTTGGTCCATTTCAGATCATTCTCAGGGCAGAGTATTTGTAAAACATTTCGATTACCTAAAGATTTCTGTTTGATTATGGTAGTAAACTAATGTAGACTTAATGTAATACAAGAGAAACAGATATAAATATTGAGGTAGATTTTTCTTTCTATTCCAACATGCTGTATAGGAGATATTATGTAGGCCTAACAACGTTCCAATGAACGGAAGTTCCAGTCACTTATCTAGTGGATTATACTAATGGATATTCATACATAATTTGAGCTTTTAGGAGGTGATATTTTCTTAACCATCACACATATTTGAGGGGGGGGGGCTTTGAAGTGTAAGTTAACCCAAAATGTTTCTATCATTAAATTTCCATTCATGGCATGACAGGCATCTAGTCACTAACTGATTTCAGCCCATGCACATGTCAGCATCTCTGGAGTCACTGTTTCAACAATTACAGTAATCAGTTGCTTGAGTTCCCTTAATTTGGCCACTTGCCCAGCATTTCTAACATAATCACACAAGAAAAAATTATGGGGAATGAAATCTGGTGATATGTGAGGATAAGTAATCATGTTTGACCTACCCATCTAGTACCCAGTAAATATCTCACTCCATCATAAACAGTGCTCTGTAATGAGGCATTGTATCATCCTCCTGAGATACATAAACCCTATCTTCTTCCAACCTCAGAAAGGCAATATTCTTGAACATATCAAGAAACAATCTTCCTGTGATCATGACATTGGGAAATGAAAAGCAGTCCTGCGCCTTTTTTTATGAAGTAGCCACACCACACATTAATTTTTAACACAGGGACACAAAAACTGATATTAACATTCTGAGTTAATCTTCACTTCAGTTCTGTCTTTCCTTCAATGTGAATAGCAGTTAAGAGAATATGGCCCCCTAAAATCCTGGAGTGGCTTTCTGGACAAGCTGTAATGAAAGTTGCATGCATCTACAACTGACCAACTCTTAGTTTGAAATTCTGGAGGAATTCTTTGTTGATCTTCTGGAGAACACCCATCATATTTGCTGCAAAGCGAGTGAGGACTAAAACCACATGGTCAGAGTAGCTATCTCTGTTAACAGAGTTGACTGAATCTCTTCTACCAGGATCTAAACCACAAGCTGCCATATATGTCCATCCTGCAACTTTTATCTTCTCAACACGTAGAGAGTTTGCATGAAACAGCAACTGCAAATAAAAACACATAAACAGATTATGTTCCTATGTGTTGTGACATCAGGCAGTTTTGTGAGGCAGATGCAACTGTTTTGGGGGAACATTGGTATCCACCTACAATCACAATCCAGAAGACCACAATCTGAGTCTTACTTGCTACCTGCTTCATGCTTGTTTCTTGCTTGGCTTATTCCTCGAACCTGAAGAAGGAGGTGACATGTTCCTCTCAAACGTCAGCTGGCTTTCAACACACTACACAGCATTATATTCTAGAAGGCAGGACTCTTCAAATAGGTTCATATTTAAAATCAGCCATAAACAGCATATTAGAGAGAACAGCACAATGTGGGTTAATCTAAATCTGAAAACATATGCTATAGAAGAAATGCAGTTATGACAAGACTGAACATACTATGTGCCCATTAAAATCATTTCTAAAAGTAGAAACCAATGTATGTCTGCATATTTTTGGTCTGCGCATGTGCGAAGAATTCTGCATACATACAAAAACAATTTTATCCTTGGTTTATTTAACAATACTTTCAACTGCTAAGATTACATACTGTTAAATGATATGATGGGCACAGTCAGCGAATAAAGAATTGGAAAAGTGTGGAGGGAAGCAGTCATGGCCTAACCTTAGGTAGTATTCTGGTGTTTGCCTGAAGGGATCTAGTGATCTAGTGATGATGTTAATATGATGTTTAACTCCTTTTTAGACACTTACTTGAAAATTTACTATTCCAATTTTCCAAAAAAAAAATTAGAACTTCAAATGAAATATGTGATTGGATTACTATAGGAATAAAAACATCCTGTAAACGTAAAAGAGTACTCTATACGGCATGTAGAAACAGTAATAATTCAGAATTAAGAAACTATTATAAAAAATACTGTAAAATTTTATCTAAGGTCATTAAGGAAGCTAAAAAACTAAAATATGGTAACAAAATTCAAAATTCCAAAAATAAAAATAAGACCATATGGGATATAGTAAAATTAGAAACTAATAAGGGGCCAAATAATGAAAAAATATGCATATTAAAGGTGGATGGAAAACTGATTAGAGAAAAGCAAGTAATTGTGGAAACCTTTAACAATTACTTTTTATCTGTAGCTGAAAATAAAAATGCAAAAAATAAACAAAATAATACTAATATTAGTTACCTTCCAGACATAGCGGCCTCCATAGTCTAGAGGTAATGTTCCCACCTCATGACTCAAGGTACGCGGGTTCAAACCTGGTGGAGGTCGTGGAATTTTTAAGGGCAGAAAAATTCAGGGAACAAGTCCTCTGGGAGGTACTTTAAGCCGGGGGTCCCATGTCGTAGCTTTACGGCATGTAGAAGAACCTCATATCTCCAAAGGAGGTCGCTGAGCCAAATTCAAGGACATTTCCTGCCCAACAGTAGTCTCTAACACCTCTGATAGAAAGCATTATAGATACCGCTAAGCCAGTCGAGGCCGAACTCGCTGGCTTGGTCGGGACTGATGGTAGGCACCCGTATCGGTAGGGTATAGAGACTGGTAGAATATCATAGAGGGAAGCACAATGGACCAATACTGGTCTCAGTGCATGGGGAAACCCACCCTCTCCAATAACTAACTAACTAACTACCTTCCAGACATTAATCCCATTCAGTATTTAACGAAAACTTTTATAAATCCCTTTCCGCATATTAAACTTAAATCTTTATCAACTAAGGAAGTTGAAAATATAATTAAATCTCTCAAAGCAAAAAACTCTTTATGGATATGATGAAATATCAACTAAAGTATTAAGAATGAGTTCCCTTTTCATTAGCTCTCCTTTGACTCGCATATGCAACAATTCATTATCACAAGGAATTTTCCCAGATTGTTTAAAATACTCAGAAATAAGACCTCTATTAAAAAGTGTGAAAAAA